TTTCGATTGATTTTTGAAAAACGGTAACTGATACAAATATTTCCAATTTTGTTTAGAATTTTCTGGTGAGCACGTTTTACAACATAAACGCCGGCATTTAGCTCAATTTAATTGAGCACCAAAAAACTCTGGAAACACTTGAGTAAATGCCCGTTGCGGCAAAAAAATGGAAATATTTAAAATTTTGAATCAAAAATTGTTAATGAAAAAGTTTGAGCTATAACTTCTGAAAGTCTTTTTTACGGCCCTTCTTCTTCGGAAAAACGCAATAGGAAGAAAAACAATTTGTTTTCTTCATAAGACTCAAATTTTTTTAGAAAAAAAATATCTTACAACCCAATAAAACTAAAAACAAATGTGGCAAGTGGGCCGACAAATCATACGCAGACATCCCATAGGTGGATCACTTTTGATTCTGGTAGTTTTGGTTTAAGTACTGACCAGATTCAAGCGTAGGCCCTTAGACGTCGACTGGTTGATTTACTCAGTAATTAAATTTGAATTTTCTAAAAAATGAGCATGTTTGCTGCAGCAATGAAAGCTGCACAAAAACTAAGTAAAATTTTGCAATCTATTTTTTGTCCCGAAAAAGAAGATACTAATTCGAGTTAAAAAAGCAAGCTATCAAAAACGTTGAGAGAACTGTAAAAAATCAACATATTTTCTGCTATGAGCTCTTTTTATACAAGTGGGAGATAGACAGTTTTTGAAAATCAAAATCGAACTAAATCTCATTTCGAATTTCAGAAAATTAGGAAAAATTTAGCAAGCCCGATAAACAAGAAAAATGATTTTTTTTGAAATAAAAGCATCACGCCAACAGATTTTCCTTGAAGCACAATCAATGTGCACAATAAAAAAATATATGATTGCCTTTTACATTGTTTTGAATTGTGTTGAAAATGAATGCAAGGCAAGCTCTATTCCTTAAAATTTCAAAAGACAAATTAAAATGCTCTACTAAAAACAGAAGTGGTTTCATACATACTAATGAATTTACAAAGGTACTTATGTTTATATGATTTTTCGAGTTCAATTCAATTTATTTGCTAAAAGCAAGGCTAGTTAAGCTCTGCTATGTTAAGATGACACTTTTCTTTTTTGCGACACTTTTCGAGTTAAATTCAATTTATTTGCTAAAAGCAAGGCAAGTCAAGCTCTGCTATGTAAAGATGACACTTTTCTGACACTTTTCTAACTGTCTGTTGGCTACGTTTAAATTGTCTGTTCAAAAACAAACCTGATATGAAACAATTCCTAAAAATTTACTAGACCTAACGAAACACATGCCAACGCTTTTTTGCAAACTGAAAAGTTTTGAAAGGCGCATGTTGAGCGACACTTGAAGGGTTTTCATGATGCACAGTTTTTTGTTGTTTTCCACAAAAAGTTGCGCAAATTGTTTTAATTCGATGATTTCTTTGGCTGAAATAAGAGAAGGAGAAAACATGTGATCAGAAATCCCGATACCCTTCTTCTATTTGAAGTTGAAGCCAGCAGAAAATCTTTCCATAATACAAGATTATTACGCTCCCGACTTTCAAGTGTTACTCAGAGGAAACGCAGGGCTTTGCAACATTTGCGATAAAACACAAAGATAGCATAGTTTCTCAGCAGACAAAAATTGAGACGGAAGCAACAAAGATGAAGATTTTTTTTTACTTTTTGATTTTTTGTAGTTTTTTGAGTTTTTTGAAATTTTTGGAACACTACTCTCCCAAACATGGAATTAAGTATTTCATCAAAAAAACTAATTGTGGTTTTTTCATTGCAAAACTGGCTACGCTAAAATTTGTAGAAAAATTCAAGTCCCCAAAATGACAATTTTTTGACATTTTGTTCGTTGTAGTGATAGTTTTCACAGTATAGGCCGATTCAGCGTTATTGCTGTAGAACAAAATGTAAAGTTGTCGGAAAGTTTAGATTTGTTTATTTTTGTTACCGCTTCTTAGAAATTTACCTTTCTCGAAAGTACCCTGCCAAATCCGAGATATATAGTTTAATCGAACAAACAATTTAGGGAATTTTCCCTGTCGGCGAAATTGGGAAAAACTCTAACGAAATTATGAAACAACGAAAAATTGAAAAATTCTTTGTTTTTGTAAGTTTTTTGTCAAAAAGTGCAATGCAATTTCTGGTTTTGGCATTGCACTTCTTCAATGCGTAAACAGTTACACTTAAATTTGCACAAAAACCTGTGAAAACTGAGGAAAAATTCTTTTTTGGGAAACTATTCGAAAAAACCTGAAACAGGTTCAATACTTTAGGTCAATAATGATTATCTAAATATGTGAAACATGAAATCAAATTGACCAAAAGTTTTTGTATTTTTGCATTAATGACTGGAAAATGAAAATTATTCAGAAAAACACATCAAAATTATTCGACAGTCGAAATTTTTGTGTTTTTATTAGAAAATATTATATGAGAACAAAACACAAAAATTTCGACTGTGGAATAATTTTGGTGTGTTTTTCTGAATAATTTTCATTTTCCAGTCATTAATGCAAAAATCACAAAAATCGTAAGTAATTGTAATGACTTTGATTAACAATTCCACTATTTTTTTCAAAATTTTTTCCACACTATTACTAAATACTTAAATACAGAAGTGCAGTCATACACACTAATGAATTCAATTGAAAAGACATTGTGGAAAAATCTTCCCTGAATAAACAGTCACACCCTAATTTTGTAGAAGAGCCTGTATGAACTGAAAATCCATTATTCGAAAATTTAAGTTTTTTGAAGTTTTCGTTTTTTTCTTTAAACCTATTTGGTCAAATTTGCCTTTGAGTTCAGTCGAAAGAACGGTTACTAAAAAAATCACCTGCATAAGCGGCTAATTACTCAATTTCAACAAAGAAACTGTTAAATTTTTGGTAAAGTCCAGTTTTTGAAATTTTGAAAATTACGCATTTTATCCCATATCATAGAAACTTATTCGAAAAAACAACCAACAATTAGTGAGCAGGCCCAATTTAAGTCATTAATGATTTCCAAATTTTTGACACATTAAGCCAAAATGACTAAAGGTTTTGCATTTTTGCTTCAATGACTGTACAAAATTTGAAGAAAGTTCTAAACACAAGCCAAACTGACGGTCGACTTTTTTATTGTAACTGTCACGCATAGTTCCTGATAGAAACAACAAAGATCGCTAACAGATCTAATGATTTTGGTTGAAAATTCTACAAAACAATTGTTTAAAAATCAATTTAACAGATTTCTCGTAATCTCAAGGAAAATGAATGTTGGTACCAGAAACAGACTATTTATTCAATGGTATCACAGAAGTTTTCGAAATGGTTTCTGCCCCGTTATAAGCAAATCCATATAAAATCGATGCAAAATATTGAAGAAAAATCGTTAAAAAATATCAAGCATTGAAGACTTTCAGAGTGAAATACTTATTTCAGTTCTCGAAAAAATTATGTTCAGCTATTTTTTCGTTTTGATTTGAGCAGAGGCGAAGTGGAGCATCGCACCACTTGCAATAACAAACAAACTTCGGGAAAATTTTTAAAAACGCATACTGCTTACAAATATTTCCAAATTTTGGTTTCGAATGTTGTGGTCAGCACGTCCGGCAACATTTCTCTCAAATTAATCGAGCACAAAAATTTTTCAAAAAGAACTGACTAAATGTCCATTGCGGCAAAAAAATTTAATTCAGTAAACCGTTAATGAAAACTTTGAGCTTGAAGTTCTGAAAGTCTAACATTTTACGGCCTTCATCCTTTCGGAAATACGCAAAAAGATGAAAAAAATTAGTTTTTCTCCATAAGTTTCAAAATAGGTTCATAAGCCGATAAAACATGTCGAGACTATTTAGGTCGAATATAGCTTTTAAGCCGAAAAAACATCAAGCAAAAATCAGTGTTAACAAATACAAATTACAAAAAAGAACCAAAAACAGCAAAAATATTTTACAAACCAAAGAAGTTTAAAAAATGTGGCAACTAAGCCGACACATCATAAGGAGGCAATATGAATGCCGATCGTTTTTTGATACTAAAAATTTTTAATTTAAAAACAAAACAAACACTGCCTCGATTTCAGCGCTTTTTCTCCCAATTATTTTCTTGCCATTAGAGGTCGTAATTTGAGCTGCTCTGGAAATTTCATGCAAAAACTAAGCTTCAACAAGACTGCTTGTATCAGGACGAAGCCCTGAATGTTCCGACTGCCTTTTAAGGTTTATGGAGCAGTAATAACATTAAAAAAATTGAATGTAAAAAGAAACAAAATGAAACTTTTTTTTCTAAAATTTGAATTTTTTAATGAAAATCATCCCCCCACACGCCATATAAAGTACAAAAGAATAGATTTCGCTTCTTGTAACAAATCAATTACGGCAAATACGCTTCTTTCAACCAATTGGGAACCATTTTTAAGACGGATTAAATCTCCGCTTACGCGTTAAGAGCGCGAAATATATCGCGCGTTAATTGTCCCAAATTGGCCAAATGGCAATCTTTAAACCGCCGTAATTTTACGAAAAATGATCACAGGTGAAATATTTTTTCGAATTTAAGCTCTGGGCAACAATACCTTTCGAATGATAATAAAAAAAATTCGTTCAAAATGGCTAGTTAAAAAGTCGTAAATTGTCCGAAGAAAAAAAACCCACCCGAGCACAAATATTCCGTTACTTTCGTATCGAAAGTCGGAACAAAAACAATCAAACCCTCAAAAATGAGCAAAAGGTTATTCCTTAAAGAACATAGTTTTTTAAATCCACGCGAACTAGATATCTGAGAAGGTAAATGGTTCATTAATACTTAAATAGTTACCGAATCATGACGAAATTTCATTGATTTTCAGAAACTGCTTTACATTTTTTACTGGTCTTTATTTGATCGCAGAGTTGTTCTTAAACCACTTTTCTTCTAAATGACATCAAATACAAAACTGAAAACTGAAAACTGAAAACCACAAAACTTTGCGCCACTGAAAACTTCAAAAACCACTGAAAACTTCAAAAAACAAACCAGAGTATGAAAAATTAAATAAATTTGAAGTACTAAAATCCGCTTACATCCATTGACAAATGCTTTCGGAGAAAAAAGTTTCAATCTGCCATGATTTTTCAGTGCTTTGTCATCAATTATTCGGTTTTTCGTTTTCTTCTAGCACACAGACACCTCCAAAGCATTCGCATCACAGACAGAAACAGTGTCATTCCTATCGCCAAACAAACAAAAACTACAAGTATTTGGTCCAAAATTAGCATCTGATACCAGGGCATGTTTTTGGTCAATGGCTGTAAATGATCGTATCCGAATTCCAAAACATGATTAATCCAGTATAAAGAAACTTCTTTCGCAGAAGGCAACGCTTGCAAAATTTTCTTGCATTTCAGCGCTTTTTCTGAGTACGACTTTTGACTTAGCATCAAATTAAGCTTATTGGTAAAATCCGATTCGGTTAATTTTGCGAAGTCGAGAACTTCGGTGGTTCCGAGTCTGTTTGCGCGTCTTCCGTTGTACCAATGGTCACCATATATGGCAAGAACTAGCATCGGAGCACCATAATAAGCGCCTTCATTCTGCCCATTCAGTCCACCGTGAGTTATGAATAGTTTTACGTTAGGGAGGGCCATTAGATCACTTTGAGGTAACCAAGGACTGATCAAAACATTTTTGGGCAGATTTTCAGTTTTTCCCACATTTCGTAGAACGAACTTAAGATTTTGAAACTTGGCGAAAGTGTTTAAAATTATCTTCAATTTGTCATTCGGAATAGTTTTAACTTGACTACCTAAAGTCATCAAGACAAAATCGGATTGGCCGAGAAAATCATGAAAAGGTTTCATAGTTTCATTTGACGCCGAGCCTGATTTCTGAGCCGAGTATCCCCCGACCATTTGGTAGTGTGGCATTGTGTTTCTCGGGTAATCAAGGCAAACTGGGTTCTGCTGAACAAAAACCATACCCGCCTCGCTGTATAACTCCGACAATTTTTTTGGAGGTTTTTCGGGCGCAAGTTTGCTCACTAAGTGCCCGTATCTGTACTCTATTAACAAAGCAGCAATATTGTTACCAACAACAACAGTAAAAGTGTTCATCAAACGTTCCAGCAACCCTGAGTTCTCATCCAGACTAGCAAACCCGAAGTTCGGTTCAGCTGCTGGGGATGACGCAACACCCTGAATCCAAGGGTCAGTTCTTGCGTTAATGACTATATATGGTATGTCCAGTTTATATGGTATAATCAGAGCAGACCAGAAAAGTTCGGGTGCCAAAATTATAGCCAGATCACACGATTTCATGTCGGCTAAAGTTTCGGGATCTGATAGAAATGATTTCGGTAAAGTGTTCATAGCGTCCATACCCGCAACCCCACTGTAAAGTAACTCGATAATCGTTTTAGGCTTTTCTTGTAAAACACCATCCAAAACTTCTGATAAAATATAATTCGCGTGTGCTTTATTTTTATCCTCGTGTAATGAGATATTAGGGTTGAGTTTTTCCACTGGCTTGTAGTCTTTTGAACCAGTACAGAAAACAACTTGATGACCATCTTCTGAAATTGCATTAGCGAGGTGTACCATCTGCAGAATCCCACTGTTGTGATCTGCAGGTAAGATGAGGATTTTCTTTTTACCGGCAGCAGCATCCGCAAAAAGTACAAGGATCGAAAAAGCAAAATACGATTTCATGAGCAAAATGGTATTTGGATTATGAACCCAAGACATTGTCTTAAGTTATCTGAAAGTGCTCGGTAAATGTTACAAACTGTCAAACAGAGCATAAGCGAACGTTTAAATATTTGTTATAATGATACTGTACATGTTTTTAGTTTCAAAGCCATATGAACTACGAGTTCTTTGCAATTTGTACATTTTAAAATAATCAAAAACTCACTTGAAACTCATAGTTATTAAGCGCAACAATTCTCTTGAACACGAAATTCTTTTGAACACGAAAAACACGAAATTCTATGTTAATGGTTAAAATTGATCTAAGTAGTTAAAATCACCACTGAAAATCACCACTGAGAAACGAACTCGCTCATTTTTGAACTTGAGTTTTTATTGTTTAGGATCTAGTTAAATTGACTTTAATAACATGACAAAATCTTGTTTTTTCTTGAGACTTCCCAGCACTAAACCTAAAAAAAGATAGTCGATTGCTTGGCAAAAATGACAGAATAATGCGAACACATCAATCTAAAACGTAGCCATCAAACAGTCGGAAAAGAGTCAATGATTGCATGTAAACAGAAAAAAAATGTTACTTGGTTTTTTTTGAAAAATCTCATTTTTCGAATTTCGAAGAAAGTATAGATGACCTTAAAGCTTTCTAGAACAAGTTATGACCGGCGCGTTTTTGATAAAAGTAACCCGATGTGAGAAAACTGGATCAATTGGTCAATTTTTTCATTTTGCTGGGAAATCTGAAAAATAAATTGCATTTTCGAAACTAGAATTCAACCACATTTTTTGTAAACCTTGCTCTTTTGCTGCTCGATAGCGAAGTTGTTTTCTTTTTAAAAGTTGACTTTTATTTTTTTTGTAAAAGCTGACTGAACAAGATGAAAAACTGCTAGAATGAGAATTATGACAAGTAACGTAGAAAATAAACTTGAAATAAACTCGCGATGCTTTCTCGAAATAACATTAAAGCAAAACTTTAAAACCAATTTTTCTCAACACTGAGATTATTTTGTTTCAAGTTCAATAATGTCGGTCGACTCAATGTTGTTCAAACTCAAAACGACTGAAAGGGCTTTAATGAGATATACCACTCGACCAATTCTGATAATTATCTGTGGTACATTTATAATTTTTTTAACCTCGTGTTGATTTTGAAAAAAACTGTGCCGGGACCCGCACATGATCAAACCTCTGCTTAGTCTAGCATAAAAGTTTAGTTCCCTTTTCAAAAATGTTTTAACTGCAGAGATTGTTACAGGGTGGATTTAAACTATTCAAACGAAAAGAACAAAACTAGAACTTGAAAGTATCGGTGGTTTCAATGTTGTAGAAATCACGACTGAAAGGGCTTTAATGAGATATATCACTCGACCAATTCTGATAACTATCTGTGGTACATTTTAAATTTTTTTATTCTCGTATTGATTTTGAAGGAAAACTGTGGAAGAATTCTGTTGCTGAGTATCCTCTCCGTCTTTTTATGTCTGCTTTCAACGGAACCCGAAGAAAATCAAACCTCTGCTTAGTTTTACATGAAAGCTTAGTTCTTTTTTTAAAAATGTTTCTCAGCATATTTTGAAAAACTTTTTATTGTTTGCTTAATTAAGAGCAATTGTTAATTGCAGAGATTGGAACAGGGTTGATTTAAATATCCGAACGAAAAGCACAAAACTAGAAATTTAAAACGCGTTTTTTTTTTCACAAATAGAGTTGTCATTAGGAAAAAAACTTGATAAAACTTTATGTGAAACAATATGGTGCATTTTCTTTAGCCAAATACGGGCACAAAATTTCACCCAAAACGGATCATTGTAGCTCTTTAGTCAATATGAAGTTACGCTAAACTTACTGCGTTAATTACTGACAAACCTATATCAATGTGAGCCTCTTACGTAGCTCAACAAAATCAACACAGAGGCGAAGCTGCGCTTCGCAAACTCTTGCGATAGCACGACCAAATGACAACTCAATCAAGTGAAATAAGACAAAAGTAGAAATAAGCTTTAAATTAGCAAAAGATGGGCTAAGTGTCCAATTCGATTCCGCGACGTAGTAAATTTGAGTCTCACGCACTAACCACTCAGCCACGGATGCTTAAGAACCCCAAAATCTAGCCACCAATAAATCAGCTGAATATGCTAATAAATTGCCAATTCGACGCAGCAAAAGTAGCACCAAATAAGAGAAGACTCAATTTTGCAAGAAAAAAATTGCAAAGCATAAAGCCAAATTAAGTATAAATTGCGCAATCCAAAAGTTGCGAGATATATTGAGCTTCTGCAATGGAGTTTTTATGATTGTTATGTTGTTTGAAACAAATAATTTTTTTTCGTTTCATTAGATGAATTAAAAACGCATCAGCTGTTTTAACTTAACACCATTCGAATGTCAAAGCACATGTTATCAAAAAGCTGTAAGGTGTCTCAAAAGTGGCACAAAGATTTGCGACTTAGGATTGAAAAAAAAGAAAGTTCGTACAAATACACCTTGCTTCGCAAGTGTAGCAAGGGCATCATCTCTAAAAAAAATGAAAATTAAATGACTTTTTTAATGATAGTCCAAAATGTCAATTTTACTCGACACAATAAGTTGTAAACGTTTTTGTTTTGTTTAATTTTTCGGAGATTAACCGAATCTAAAAAAAGTCAAAGAAAGTGTATTCGCATGCTAACCCATTGTTTTATCAAATTGAAAACTAAGTGTTATCCAATGAAAACCAAATAAAAAAGATATTTTTCCATTTTATGTTTGTTTCGTGCAAAATTTTGCAATTAACTTTGCATTTTTCAAATGAGTATTACAGAAGTTTTGCAGAACTAGTATACGGCTCAATTGATTTCTAAAACTAAAATTTTTTAAAACCTCAAAAAATCCATTCCTTTTCCACGTTCACCCTTTTGACACCTTACCCCACTAACAATTGTCCCTTTGTTCTTTAAAATTCTGCCATCCGCCCTATCCACCAAAGAACCAAACTCCCCCAACATAACTAACATAACTAAGCCTCTTCCCCCACCAACAAAGCCACCCCCACTCCAAGTTTCTAAGCAAATTAAGAAATGATTGAAAGCAACAAAAATGAGTAATATAAATTGAGTAACAAGAAAAAGTTGCCTATCAAAGTTGCTTATCAAAAACCTAAAACGAACAAGGATTGAACACAAACGACTCTGTGTGTTGATCAAAGAAAGAGCAAAAATACTTTTCAACAGATCGAACATAGTTGAAGATGGCATCGTGCAAAAGAGCCGCACTCGGACACTTCGTGCCCTCTGGCCGGGTTCTTTTTCCCTCGGGCATCTTTCAACTATGTTCTTAATACTACAAAGTACAACAATCAATTATAATTGATTCGCAATGACTTTTAATGCTTTATTTTCCAAAAAATGCTTTTTTTGACCTGTTTTTTTTTAAATTGCCTGCGGCACAGAAAATTTTTCAAAAAAAACAGGGTCCTAATAGAATTTTCGGAAAGGTCAGAAAATCAAATCGGTCGACCTAAAAGAACATGTCTACAAAATTATCAATTTTTTGAAAACCGCATAAATCATTCCCCTCTCCCCCCCCCCCAAGAAAATTTCCTCTGCACCCCACTGAATACATTGAAGCTGTGTTTAAAAGGAAGTTCTGAAAGTAAATATTGACAGCACTCCTAAAAATGTTAATTGTGAACAGCAAATCAAAAATATTTAGAATAACTAGGGTAAAATAAACTTTCACAAGCATAAGCAAATTGCTTTTAAACGAATGAATACATAATCACAATTTTTCTGAAAATGATTCTGAGGACACGCCACTCAAAGGAAAGGGGTCTTTAGATGTAAAACCTTAAGAAATCCATTTCTGATCAAGAAACCTAATTATTTTTTCTATTCCCCTTGCGGGAAAAAAGCAGAGAGGGCAAAATGGGGTTGATTGACTTCTCAGATCTTTTGCTGTATGTCACTTAGATTGCTTGAATTAAACACGTGTATCAATATCCACTAGTGTCAAACCACTTGACGAATTGAAAGAAACTGTGGACTAGCTACTGCCAAATTTTAGGTACCTCAAGAAAAAATCAGTGGATCAACCGTAGTGTTATGTTAAAACCGTATTAATCGTGAATAGGATTCCAAAATGGATTCAAAAATAGTCTGTGTAAGCAAAGGTCTGAATAATTTCGGTTTTCAGACTGCTAGAAACAATTGAGAGGCTGACCTGCCCGGGATGACCAAAAATACTAGTCATACAATTTCCATATATGGAAAAAGGCTAGTCATACACTTTCCATGCAATTCCATACGTACAGAAAATTGCATGAAAGGTCTATGATTAGTATTTTTTTCATATATGGAAATTGCCCACTAGTTTTGACGTTATTTTACAACTAAGACTTTGTGTTATTTTAGTTATTATTAAGTTTAATGCGTGTCAATTTTTATCATACAATTATGAGACCAAACTATACACTTTGTGAATTTTAGGCGGATTCCACATCAAACGTTGCTTTTTGTTCTTCTTCAGTTCCTTCATTCTATTTGATCGTTCCGACAAAGCTTTAACTTCTTTTAAAACTTGTATCTGGATTCCAGAGACCTAAAAACACCAAAATTTGCGCCAACTCATTGCAAAGTTTGGCCACGTAACGACTAAGCTACTCTTTAAAAAATCGAAACAACATAGAAGTAACTAATGAGTTTCAGTTTGGTTGGCAAATGCAAACTTTTTGGCAACCATTAAATAAAGCAAGCTTATTTACGTCAAGCGTATTTTTTCTGCGAATTTTTGCAGACAAAAACTTGCTGTTGTTTTTTTCGTTCGGATCTGTCAGTGAACTTCTTCGAAGAGCTTGTTTACAACTACAGTTGGTGTTTCTCATTTGTTGTTATGAGATTGAGTTTTTCGTTTTTTTTTTTTCAAAAGAATTGTTGAAATTTTTTTTTACTTAGTTATTTCCATCTCACTTTGGTAGCTTGCAATATTAAGTTTTCATTGTATCGCAATTGATGTGAAGCTCCGCTTCGCCTGTGTTTAATTTGCACCTTAAATCAGTTAGTACGAATAATCATCAGAGAATAAATCATGAACGCTTTAACAAAACTTTTTTTTCAGTTTCGCGAAAACTTGTTCAAATTTTTCACTTTTGTAGTTTAG